GGCGGAGTGGCAATAGTCACTGGGGAATGCCTTTCTTGCGGCAAAGATAGTCGAGGGCATGTCTGATCGTTAGATTGGCGGAGTGGCAATGGTCACTGGGGAATGCCTTTCTTGCGGCAAAGATAGTTGAGGGCATGTCTGATCGGCGCAGTAGGTAGGTAGATGAACTGAAGTTCATCGACGTAAAAGTGTGACGGGGGATACGTGACGTGAGGGTGTGGCGGAGTATCACCGTTTCCTAGGGATATGGTATATACTACTATACTGCTGTCGATTCATCAACACAAAGAGGGGTTGTTAAAGGGGTTGAGAAAGAAACGCAAAGAGGGGTTGTTAAAGGGGTTGATAAATAAACGCAGTGAGAAGGTCAGACTCTTCTCAGAAGTCCGGTGTTCTGCTCTCGTGTCCAGGAAAGCGTTCTAACTCCCAAGTGCCTATCTCTAGAATGATACGTTTGTCTTCTTGCCTCCCTCCCCCCCTCTTCTGGTGGCTCTCTGAGCTTCAACGAAACGGGTTTAGTGGAGGGGGGGTGCCCTCGCAGGTATAGCAGTACACATCCTGGGCTGCAGCGGTGAGCTGCTAGGCATGGGCTTACCGTAGCCGCGACTTCCTTGATGTCCTACGGTTGCGTCCCTGGACGGATGGAGAACTTGTAGATAAAGTTTGCTGTGCCTTCGTTCTGAAGAAGGATCGGTTCCGGATGCCTGCCAAATTAGGAAATTTGTATTTGCAAAAATTGAATCGTGTTTGCGCAGGATTTTTCTGACAACGGGTAATGATGGCGGTAATGATGGTTGATGGTTTCTTTTCCTCTGTTTATATGTGTTCTTATCTAAAGGGGTTTAAAGGGGGGTGCCTTAGTGTGATTCTGTTATTTTCTTTTTTTATCTCCGATTCTGTGGGGAATTCTAATGGCACCCTCAGCCAAAAGTCGTTCGGATTGCAATTCTACACACAAAAAAAAAAATTCCGGTTTTTTTATTTTCCTTTTTGGTGCTGGGGCTGCCCGGTCGGGCACCCGGGCATAAGCTGGGTGCCCGGCCGCCCGGAAACACAGCATAAGTTCTCATCTTTTTTCTTTTTTTTTTTCATTTTTGCTGTGTTAGTCCCCGGGCGGCCCGGCTGAGGGAAGGTCGCCCTGGTACCCTCCCAGGCGACCCGGACCGCGCAGAGACCGGGCAGGGTCCCGGGCGATCCCAGCGCATGATATTTAAAAAACTAGAAAATAAAAAAATATAAAAAATCCGAAAAACAAATATGTTGTGTAAAATTGCAATACAAACGACTTTTGGCTGAGAGCCACCTCGAAATTCCTTGTTAATTTCAAGATAAAAAATAAATGAGAAAACATGAGTCCCCAAAAGACTCCAAATGTGCCCTTTTAAGCCCTTTAGTGAAGTTTAGTCACTGTTGATACCCCCCAACCCCCTCTGGATGACCCATCACCAAAACCGAAGTTAAGACCGGATTCTGACTGCGTGGGCCAAGCGCAGTCCTCGCCTGTGTTTTTTTTTTTTTTTTTGGGATCCTTGCCTCTTTTTTGACCCGTCGGGTTTTGCCGGGCGACCCCCCCTCTGCCCAACTGGCTGGGCGTGCCGGGCCGGGCCCGGCCCAACATAGCACTTTTGTCCATTTACTTGTTGTCATGCGAAGTGTAACGAGGATTTTGTGCTTCATGCCGTGTGTCTGTGATCTTCTTGTGGGAGTAATTGAATCTCAGTTGCAGCTCCTCCTTCTCCCCTGCTGGTAAAGTTGCAGCCCCTTCTTCTCCCCTGTTGATAAGGTGGGGCATTCATTTTTTTCCCACTGCGCGGGGGATTCCAGGAGGAGGGTGGGGATTTGCACGTTGCGAGGGAGACGTCGATGAACTGCTGTCTCTGCGACAGAGTGCTCTCGAGTGCATAATCCGTCCGTGGCCGTGGAAAAAACTTACTCGCTGTTATAACCCATCAGCACGTCCGAGCCTCCTTTGGATCTCCCTCTGCGCACGCTTTGCCGAAATGCCACCGCAGCACCTGTTTCTCTTTTTGGCTGGTGCCGCTAGGCATTTTGGTTCGCTTCCGCCGAGCCTCCGAAGTGTGTTTTAATGATTGGCTTGATTTCGATTCTCGAGTTTGCAAGGGGGATGTACAGGCGATTAAGAAAAGTCTTCTCTCCACAGCATGCAGGGGGGAGCTGATCTACACACATGCACAAATACTGGAAGAAGGTGATACTAGGAACCAAAGGAGGGTAGAGAGAGAGAGAGAGAGAGAGAGAGAGAGAGAGAGAGAGAGAGAGAGAGAGAGAGAGAGAGAGAGAGAGAGACTGCTTCTGTTCTGCGTTCATTATTCTTATCAGCAAGGAGACGGTGTACGAGTGCTTTGTTGCTTCCCTCTCTACTTGTGAAGAGCTGAAATGTGTGTCAGTTGTCTTGTTAAACGACCAGTACTTCCTAGAGTCATGCCCGTTAACGCGCCACGATTTTAGGAAACGTACGTACGGGCCACTACAGGAGTGACTAAATTCATCCGACTAGAAACGTTTCTACTCTTTTTCCGCGGCCGGTGGCTGGGCCAAGTACTGGTGGTTTAATGTTTTGTATTGGAGGGCCGGAAATACTGTAGCAGGGTAATTAAGGAGGGTGAAAAAGTGTGCTGCTTCTAGAGCTGAAGCCCTTGGCAAAATGCGGTGCGAAGACAGGGGGGCAGGGGGCCATATTTGTGCATGAAGGGTAGTGGATGGAGGATCAGGGAAGCAAAGTTGAGGAGGGAGTTGTGGGGGAAGGAGGATCTGAAGGAAGGAAAGTTGACGAGGGGGAGATTGCGGGGAATTTGTTTGAATTGCCTTCTGAAGTTCTGATGCAACTGAAGTTTCGGGAAGCGGGAGTGAGCCTAAAGCATAGGCTTATGCTCCATATATTTGGTTTGAGGAAAAACTTGCTAGGTGAAAGTAAATACGCTGAATCGATTGTGAAAAACTTATCATCCGGACGCCTGCGTAGCACCGTGTTCGCGTTCGGAGGCGAACATGAACATGTTCGCCCGAACGCGAACAAGCGCCCAAAACCTCCGAACGCGAACATAAAAAATATTAAAAAAAAAAAAACGTTTTCAGAAAAATTTGGAAAAATATATATGTCATGTAAAATATTAATACAAGCAACTTTTGCCTTGGAGTCATGCTCAAATTCGTAGCCAATCATGAGTTAAAAAACAAAAACCGAAAAATATATATATATTTTTACGAAAAAAAAATATGTTCGCCCGAACATGTTCGCGCGAGAACGTGAAGGGCCGCGAACACGTTTGCCGTGCTATGCAGCCGGACGCCTTAATTGATCGTAAGCTTTCATCGGGATGCCGAAGTGCCCATAAATTTTCATCGGGTTATGGAAGCGGTCGTAAAAATTTTCATGGGGATACGGAATCGGTCGTAAACATATTTTTTTTATCGAGATATACCAAATCGATGGTGAAGATTTTCATCGGGCTCCACTGGGAGCAATGAGTGGGGCGTTCACAAGAACGGTTGTCTGCGTCAATTTAAAAAAACGTGCATACAGTCTTTCAACTGGACCGGAATCGCGGTCCGATGCGTTGAACAGTCTGAGGGGAAAATACTTTGGAAAGGAGATGTGGGTCCCCTGTGATTAAGTTTCAGGCAGTGACTCTTCAGCATGGAAAGGGGTCTGCCATGAGTCGACCCTGACCACCCGGTTTTCTTGCTCGATTGCCGTGGCAAATGTACATGTGGAAACAAATGATTTTAGTATTTTACTGTAGACACAGTGTAGAGCCCTTGTTTACTGTGGGGAAACTATTCAAAGCTTTTTGATGTGTGGGCCTTGCGCCACTCCTCTCGACATGCACAACAGACAAAACTCGTAGCGGAAGATTCACTCTCGTTTTGCACATTTTGAGAGCAGTGGCGGCGGCCCTGTATCTGGTTTCAGAGCATGAACCATATCAGTAAGCAGATTCCAGGGCAATCATAAACAGTTACGCTCTCGAGAAATCAAAAGGGGCATAAGCCACCCGCACCATGGAAGTACCTATTTTAGTATTTTGTCAGATCCGGAAAGACCTACCAACTCTGACACATGCATTTTGTTTTGCTCTTTTCTTTTCATTTTTCCTGTGTGTGTTGGTGTTGTCGTGGCAGATCCACTTAGCTGCTGTTGTAGGCAAAACCGTTGTTGTTGTTGGTTGTTGTTTTTTTTTTTTTTTTTTTTTTTTTTTTTTTTTTTTTTTTTTTTTTTTTTTTTTTTTTTTTTTTTTTTTTTTTTTTTTTTTGTTTGTTTTTTGTTTTGTTTCAAAGCGCTTTGGTAGATGAAACTGTTTTGTTCTTCCCTTATGCCTTTGGTGGGGAGAAGGCCACTCACCTCTGGCTGGGGGGCGCAGCGCGATCGGGAGCACTGCGCCCCCGCCGGAGCAATTACGGAGACGAAGCGGTGCGACGCGGGATCAACCGGAGAGCCAGGCGGGGCGAAGACACAAGGCGACGCGATGGGCGACGACGCAAGGAAGCGAGGCGAGAGAAGAGTGGGGGGTTGAAGGAGCGAGGGTGGATTGTTTGTTTGAGTGGTCTCGAAAATGTTTTAGGTTTCTGGGTACTTCTTACAACTCACTTTTGGCTTTTTTGATGCAGTCATATTCATGGATCTGCGGTTTTCCGATGCTAGAACGACGCTGGCCGGTGCTGGGGGGTTGCCGTGTAACCTGTTGATAGCAGGAGCGTGAGGCCTGGTAGAGAGATCTGGGGATGCCTTGGGGCGGGCAGTCTAAAGGAAAACCAAGGGTGGTCGTCGGGACGATGCTGGCCGGAGCTGGGGTGAGTCGTGTTGCCCTGTAACCTAGCAGGATGGGGGCATGAGGCCTGGGAGAGCTCGGCAGGGAATAAGACAGTGTTGGAGATTTTTAGAGGTTTTGTTAAGGAGTCCAGGGGTTCTGAGCATTGAGTTTAGCAATAGGCCAGCAATTACCCAAGTTTTTCTAGATGTTTAATTCTCTTGAACTCTCTTGAATATCTTCAATAGTTCTCAGATTGATTCTCAGCCGAAGCCGGGTAATGGCCCCGGTATCTCAAATGACTTGTGTAACTCTATATGGGACGCTGGGCCCGGTTCAAAGCACGTGCTGCTCCTCACGAATAGACTGGAGCTTTTGTCCCCAAAAAAAAAAAGAAAAAAAAAAGGTTTTGTGATGGCTTGTATCTTTCTGTTTCCCAAATAGTTTTGTCTGTCATACGAAAACCTTCTGAAGCAACCGACCTCGCTGAGCCTTTTTGGTAGGGGAGACCATGGTGAACCTGCTTCACGGATAACGAAGCCAACACAAAAGCTTTCTGGTATAGAATATAGCAGATGCAATTTCGTGGTTGGGTGTTGCGTTCCCGATTTGTGATATTGCCTAACGCAGCACACAGGGTTTTCATAAAACTTGGAGATGGTGTATGGCAGTGTTGTCATTCATGCGCCTTCGACTGAGTGTCCTTTCAACGGGGGGGGGGGGGGGGGGGGGGGGTGGAGTTAAGTTGCGGTTAGAAGCCGTTTAATTCCCCCTGCCCCCGTTAAATCCCCGTTGAATAAAAAATGGGGGGGCTCCCACCATTTGTTTTTCAATGGATTGGGTCTGCAGGGGTTCGGGTACGTGGCCCAGCAACCCTGCACGACTAAACTGAAAGAATCAAGGACC